TATTTGCTTGTTTATTTGTTCAGAACTTTAATTTAATGGGTGAGGGAACTCCCAGGATGAAAGCTCCCTCCACTGATGCAGGTCTGGCAACTTATCCATGATTTGCAGTCTTAGGGAATTCCTTGCAGAACTGATTGGTTAGATGATTTATTCAGGGTCACATAGCTAAAATGTGTCAGATGTGGGGCTTGCACCAAGGTTTTCCTGACTACAAAGTTAGCCATCTGTCCATTATACAATGTTTCCTCTCAGCTTATCAATATCTTTCCTAAAATGCGATATCCAGAATGACACACTATTCCAGATACAGCCTGAGCATCACAAAATATCACAGAACATACAATATTGTAAGAGACTTTGTCCAATGTTTTGCCAAAATCCAGATATATTATGTTCGTAGAATTCCTCCGGACTTTATGGAGGGATTTGTAACCCAACAACAATAACAAAAAATAATGATACTTTGACAAACTATAACAAAAACAACTAATATTTCTATTGGGCTTTCAGGTTTATAAAGAGTTTTATAGTGTTCTGATTTGATCCCTACACTAACCCCATTTCACAGATGAGAAAACAGAGGCTGAGAGAGGTTAAGTAAATTGCCCAACTACTGACTGAGGCAGAATTGGAATTCGAATCTCCCTTATTCCATTTCCATCACTCTATTCAATAAGACACCTAGCTGCCATGGGGGCTAGAAGAAGATCAAGGAAGTAATTGGATTCCTGCTTGGTGAAACAGCTAGGTGGTGTAGTGGATAAATCTTGAACTTGGGGAGATGAAGACCAGAATTTCAGCCCTATTATAAACACATATCAGCTATGTGAGCCTGAGCAAGTCACTTAACCCTTCTCCTCAGCCTCAGTTTCCTCATCTGTAACATAATAGCACTTACTTCACAGAGTTGTCAGGAGAATCAAATCATATGTGTAAAGCACTTTGCAGATCTTAAAGCACTATGTAAATAGTAGCCTCAGTGTATATCATTCATTTGGTTTAGAATCTCTGGCTATAGGAACTTGTCTATCCTATCTCTAAACTCTTGAAATCTGCTTCCCTAAAGCCTAGGGTATGTATTGGATTATACCCAGTGTCCCCTTCTTTGTGATCACTACCATGGTACCGTCATTTCTACTTTTCCTACATGTTTTTGCTTGTTGGCCAGAATAGAGCCTAAAATAGAAGTTGGCCTCGTCACTTCCTATACACTAAGATAAGCCAAGAATTTATTAGATGTGCTGCACATCTATGTAGTACTTTAAGGTTTGCAAAGTGCTTTACAGAAATATTATCTCAGTGGATGCCCAGAGTAGACCTGTGAGATTGATACTATAGGTGTTATTATTTGTATTTTATAGATAAGGAAAGGAAGTAGACTCAGAAAGGTTAAGTCATTTGCCCATGGTCACACAGCAAGTAAGTGTCTGAAGCAGGATTTGAACCCATTTCATTCTGACTCTAGTCCTCTGACTCTATTCACTACTTCACATGGAGTCCATCTACCCCTAAGTAACAGACTCCTTGAAAATTAGAAAGACCAAACAATAATCAACGATTTCCACGAGAAAGAAATATTAGAAGAAAATTATAAAATAGAAAAAAAATGGAAGAAACATAAGACAGTTGATATTTTAAAAAATTACCTGGACAACAGGACCAGGATTTAAGTATCAATAGATTCCATGAAAATCATGATTTTTTTTTTTTGCTTTTTTTTGGTGAAACAAGCGAGGTTAAGTGACTTGCCCAGGATCACACAGCTAGTAAGTGTCAAGTGTTTGAGGCCATATTTGAACTCAGGTCTTCCTGACTCCAAGGCTGGAGCTCTATCCACTGTGCCATCTACCTGCCCAATCATGACTTTTTTTAACTTGGATACCATATTTCAAGAAATAATAAAATGAGAGCTGCCTGGATCTATTAGAACCAAAGGTAAAAATGAATATAAAAATAATCCAATGATCACCTCCTGAAAGAAACCAAAAAAAGAAAAGCTCCAGAAATGTCATAGCAAGAATCTCTATAGCTTCTGTGTTAAAGAAAAATACTGCAAGTATCTAGAAAGCAGTGCAGCACCAAGGAACCACACTCAGGATGATACAAGACATGGCAACTTCTACTCTAAACAAGAAGAGAGCTTAGAATATAATTTTCCAAAAGGCAAAGGATATGGTCTTCCAACCAAAGCTACATATGTTCCTACAAGGGAGAAAATGAGTATTTAATGGCATAGAGGACTTGTAAGCATTCCTAATCAGATTTTAAAAAAAAAACAGCTGAATAGAAGTTTTGAAATACAAAGTTGAGTCAAGATATCTAATATAAAAATCAACTAACCCGAAAAAAAAGGTCAAAGAGATAACTTACCTCAAAAGGTAAATGTATTTGAGCAATTAGAAGAGGCTATATGATGATGCAATGATAACATTCCATTAATAGGAGAAGAAACAAGTTTCCCTTTAGAACCTTAGTGTCTTCAGAGAGTATTGAGAAGTTAAATAAGAAACAACAGAAGACCTGGAAGGTAGATTTGTTCTATTCTGAGGGTTTTAAGAGGGGAAAGAAAAGGAGGGTAAAATAAATACATTAGTATAGAAAGGAGGAAGAATGGAGTACTGTTTCTCCTAATTAAAATACATAAGAAGCATATGCAGAAATGGAGGAAGGAGTGAAGGGAGCAGCCATTAGATGAACCTCACTCATCTTAAATGGATAAAGGAGGATTAAGCAAGCACACACACACACACACACACACACACACACACACACACACTTTGGTTTAGAAATAAATCAAATCCAACAAAGAAATGAGTGAAAATAAGGAGAAAGGAGATTAAGAGGGGGGATAATATTGGGAGGGAATATTATAGTTGCCAACACGTAAATTACAGCTAGCTAGATACATAGAAAGATAGATAGACCTATTTTTATAAACACATACTTCTTGATTATGAAAGGAGAATTAAAAGGAAAAGAAAACAAAAGCAAAGAACAGCAATAATAATGAAAAAAATAGAAAAGGCCATTGAATAATTTTTAAATACACAGAAAAGAAAAGACTTTCTAAAGGAAACACAGACAAGTATAACAGTTTTTGAAAGCATAGTGGCGTCTGTTCACAGACCCCATCTGTATACATGGCTGATATAAATTCCATGTCAAGGAAGCTAGGGATTTACTTCCAAGAGAAACATGATCACACGTAAGGGCAATGCCTTGGAGAGACTGTGGAGTATGCACAGACATTCTGTGACTGGTTCTGGTTGGCTGAATGTGTGGTTAGGAGGAGCCTTTTTTAATGGGTTGTGTAGCCAGAACTTCTGGTATCTTCAAAAAAGGCCTGAGTCAGCTTCAGGCATTTAAGTCTAAGGTAGCTCAGTGACTCTTTCACAGTGTCCTATGAGATGCTGTGCATTAAGAGGAACGCCCGTAGGCCCTTCTTCTTTGAGGCTGTTTGACCTCCACAAATAGGTCTCCATCCTTCTTAGCCTTCTTTTATTCTTTTCTGTCTAGGTACAGGGAGCAGTTTCCAGTCATGGTTGAGAGAGCAAGCCAAAGGATTCTGAGAGGCAGAATTCAGGCCAGCTATTGTAGCCAACCTAGCATCAGTGGCCTGAGGTGCAAAGAATAACCTTTGGGAGCAATCTTCTGAACCTATGCCACCAAAAGCTGAAAATAGGACTCATCTGGTGGCAATGCCAACTTTGAACGTGAACTTGGTGGGAAGAATGCCATGTAGAAGCTGAGCTAAGTTTTGAGCTTACTCCTCCATAGTCTAAGGTGATACTCAGAGTATTGGAGAATATACTTAGGTGTTTGTTTTTGCTATATCTTTAAGATAAGTGTCCCTTTGTGAAAGCTGCTCAATGTTAAGTAGTTGAATGGAACAGGCATGCTAGTCACAGGTCCCTAACAATGGGGATAACAGTGGGGGATCAAGCTAAATAGCATTAGGGAAGAGATTCCCCCTTCCCCCAACCTTTTAGGGCATTCTAGAACCCCGAAGAGAGATGTCCCAATCTGTTTAGCCCTAAGAGAGTATAGCCAGAGCATAAATGTTACAAAAGCAACCTAATTTATCACATGCCTTTTAAAAAGCAAGTATTATGAAACAACAACTCATAGTTTCATATAAAATCCTGTTTTGTGTGTTCTGCTGTGAATATGGAAATATTCTTGTTAGCATTTAAGTTCAAAATAGAAAAAAACTTTTTTAAAGAAATTCAAAGTAGAGCCAGGTTATAAAGGTTTTTAAATGCCAAACTGAGAAGCTTATATTTTATCCCAGAAGCAAAAGGGCAATACAAGTTTCATATATATATATGTATGTATGTATGTATGTATGTATGTATGTATGTATGTATGTGTATATTATGGGAGAGCCAGGGAAATAGCTAGTCTTTTATTGGAGGGAAGAAAACATTACAACACATCTCAAGTAAACCAGTCCAGGGGCTCGGTGGCTAAACTGGTGGGGTACCAGCTTGTAGTGGGTTCCACAGTTAGGGCAACACTGTGTCTCGCCTTTGTGAAGCCAGAACCAGATGACTGCACCGCTGTCCTCTTCACAGATACAGCCCACTATTCGTTTGTCAGTGATGGAAGAGACCAGGTTGGGTTCCTCCTTAGTCCCTGGAGCTGCCTTTGGGGCTAGGATATTGTATGGATCCAAATCATCCCTTGCAGCCATCATAATCTCACTCTCCAAGCCAGTAGCCTGCTCATCAGAAAGGATACCTCCTCCGGTTGCCATGGAGCGAGCGGCCACCTGAGTAGACCTGGACTGCCAGCACCCCGGCGCCCCGCAGTGACTTTGAGGCCATCGAGCCTGAGACAACTGAGACCGGCTGTAGCAGCGGTGCTTCCGGAATGAGGCCTCCGGGGGAAAAAAAAAAAGGCGATACAAATTTGTTAAGCAAAGGAATGACATGGTGTTTTAGAAAGATTGTTTTGGCAGGAGGAGGGCTCCTTATAGATCAGACACTGGCTTCTGCATATCAACTTATGAGGCTGCTGAAATTGTCTAGGTGGGGGTGATGAGAGAATAGGACAATGTTAGTAGAAGAGAAGCACAGATGTGTGAGATGTTGTGGAGGTAAGATGCATCGGACATTTTGGATGAGGGAGATGTAAGAGTTGAGGATAATTCTAAGGTTGTAAACCTCAGTGCCTGGAACAATAGTAATTCCTACAACAGAAAGAGAAAAGTCTGAAAGATGGGCGGGATTAGAAAGAAAGATAATGAATTCTATTTTGGACAAGTTAAGTTTATAATGCCAATGGGATATCTTAGTAGGGATTTACAGCTAGGGATTAGTCATGTGGTACTAGTGCTCTGGAGAAAGACAAGGGCTGGATATATAGATTTGGAAGTCACCTGCACTGACATGATCATTATACTCATAAGAATTGATGGGATCAATGAGAGGGAGGATAGACAGAGGGAAGAGAACACCCAGGACAGCCTTGGGAGATATCTTCTCTCAGGGATAGAATAATGGGTGATGATCCAGCAAAAGAAACCGAGAAGGTGAAATTGGATATGTGGGAGGAAAACCAGGAAAGAGAAGTGTCAGAAGGGAGTGTCGAGAAGCAGAGTGTGGTGAATAATGTCAAAAGCTCCAGAGAAGTCAAAAAGGCTGAGAAGTGAGGGACAAGTCAACCATTTTAGTCATTAAGGGATCATCTGTGATCTCAAAGATAGGAGTTCCAGTAAAATGAAAGGGTCTGGAACCAAACTGCAAAGGATTAAGAAATGGGAGAAGTGGAGGTGATTTTTTTTTAGTTAGCATGGGTTCCTGAAAATGAAAAATGTGAGGACTGATTATAGGTGTGTAGTTTCAACTTCAGCTGTAGGGCAAATGAAACTAATTCATATTGCAGTGGAATGGAGAACCAGAAGAGATACCCCATTACAGGAATGACAACCAGAAATAAACTGCACCCCAGTGGAAGAGTCGGGAAAGAGACAGGCAAGCTTCTGGAATACTATAGGCTGCAGCAGACCGGGTAACCTAGCCAAAAACCCACCCAGCAGGCCTTGAAAATATCCCACAAGGAACTGAAAACATTGACTAATAATACTCGACTCCATTTCCCTGGTATTCATTTCTGCCAAGGTCAGTTTTGGTCACTGGATGGTTGGTGGTTTGGGCATACTTCTCACTGCTTTTATTTTTACAGCAGTTATAGAGGACTTTATATCCACCAAGGACATCCCCACCCATCCAGACCACCCACCCACACTGCCACACACAATACAACCAACTACACCCACAAAAATCCAGATTCATTAAACATTATGACAATTTGATCTTTAGGAATACTGCTCCTTCCAAATGATCTTCCTTGGGTTTCACAAAATAAATCAACATACCTCTGTAAGGATTAATCCCCAGTTGATTCATTTAGAATACATTTACATCAAGTGCCAAAAATATGGGAATCATCCCCAGGAGGAAAGAGACAACAGCAGAAAAGTCTAGAATTCATCAAATACGGGAGGGGTCTTTGAGTTTTTGTCTCATGAGACCAGTGATGTTGAAAAAAATCAGAATTAAGCAGTCTTTCTGTACCCCCAGTTACTTATCTAACCTATTTTGCCTCCCATTCCTGCCTCTTTTCCCTTTCCTTCTCTTCCTTTTTCTTCTTACTGAGAGAAACAGCATGGTCCTTCTTGGAAAAAGAAACACCATACATGAAGTCAGAGAAACTGGGTATGAATCCCATTTGCTCTTTGAATGACTGTGGGAAAGACTCAACCCCCCCCCCCAGGCCTCTGTTTCTTTATCTAAAAAATGAGGGTATCACACTACAGAACCTCAAAAGCACCTTCTGGCACCAAATCTATGATTCTGGAATCCCTTTTTCTTCACTCTCCTTTTCCTTTCACCCTAGTGAGAGAGCGAGGCACAGTCAAATTTAGTTCTCAGCTTTTCCTGCCATCTCTATCATGCTTCCTGAAAATTACCACCATGGCTATACAATCTCCAGCTACCAAAAAAGTAAAGGAATTACCCCAGCCTAGAAAAACTCAGGCCCTGGAAACTACATTCCTCAGAACATTCCCTTCCTATTGCTTCTTTTAGACAACTAGAACCTACAAAAAGAAAAAGACGGGAGGGAGGAGACAAGGAGAAATGCTGACTTCAGTACGTAGCTTCAGCCTTTTTTTTTTAAAGCTCTTTTGCCTTTATGATAATTTATGAGGTGTCAAGATATTCCAACCACAAGGGTCTGGACTGAAAGGTTCTTACACTTAAGCTTTCACGAAAGAGAAATAGTTTCATTCAGTTTTCCCTCCCGTACTGTCTCTTTTCACAATGAACAGGGAATTGGGGTTTCCCAGTGATTATTTGTGTAAGAGCCGCCCAAGTCTGTGTGCTGAGACCAGGGATGTGTCTCATTCCTATGCTGGCTTCCTGGCCATTGCTCCTTCCATCCCAGTCACAAAAAGGGCTCCCATTCCTGATGTGGTTGCTATGGGGACATTAAAGCCAGATCAACTCTCATGTGCCATGTGTGTGTATGCCAGAAATGTCAGGAATCAAATAACCTCCCATCCAAGGTCACAGGCTTCCATTTTCATTAGAAATTCCCAGAGTTCTTATCTATATTTCCATCTTCCCCACACTTTCATTTACCAAAAGTGTGCAAAGGTTGGTGAGGGGGGCAAGGGGCAGGGTAAGGTTCTAGGTCAGAAGGAGTGGGGAATAAAAGAACCATTTCCTATTACCAGTGACTTCCTCAGCCTCAGTCTCCAAGAAGCCCTGTTCTAATACTAAAGTAGTATTTCCCTTGGCCTAGAGTTTCAGATCCCTCACTGTTTGAAGCTGCAGAGTCATAGATATTCTGCTTGAGTAGCTTGGCAGGCCTGCCAGGAAAACTAGTTTCTACTTGGAGAGAGTTCAGAGGAAGCACCTGATAGACCTTCACAAAACCAAGAAGACGAACAAAGAAGACCTTTGCTCCTTCTGGGTCCAAATGAGGTTCACCTCTATACCAGGAACAAGCATACACCAGCCAAGGCATGGGAATTCTTGGGTGTTCAGGCTCCAAAACTTGAGTACAGGAAATTCTGATGATAGAATAAAACCCCTAATGCAACCTGTTATCCTCTGACTCCTTCTCACCGAACTTTGAGGTTAGCCTAAGCATCCCCTGCTTCTAGAAGTTTCTGGAATATGGCATGTACCAGAAAGAAGTAGAAAAATAATAATGAACCCAGCTTCAGGAAGGGTCAAACTTTTGTTTTCCTATAGAAACTCACACTAATTTTATTCAGGAGAATTTTCAATACCTTATTATAATTTTCGTAGAAGTCATTCCATTCTCATTTGCTGAAATCTTGACTCATCTGTTATATGGTACTCACAGATCAACAAAGTTCCCCAGCATTATCTTTTGTATGCAACTACTCCATTACTATGGCACAATTTTTCTTTTTTATATTTTTCTTTTTTTAAAATGTATTTTTATTTATTTCATTAAATATCTCCCAATTATATATAAAAATTTTGACAATCATTTTTTAAAATTTTGAGTTCCAAATTATGTCTCTCCCTCTCAACTCCTCACCCCTCCTTGAAAAGGCAAACAAGCAATTTGATATTGATTATACATGTGAAATCATACAAAACGTATTCCCACATTAACCATGTTGCATACAGACAAAAAAATTAAACAAGAAAAATAAAGAAAAAATTTTTTTAAAAGTGTGCTTCAGTCTGTATTCAGAGTTTATCAGGTTTCTCTCTGGAGGTGGATGCCATTTTTCATTATGGGTCCTTTGAAATTGTCTTGAATCATTGTTTTGATCAGAATAGTCTTTCATAGTTGATCATCCTTATAATAGTGCTATTACTGTGTACAATGTTTTCCCAGTTCTGCTCACTTCACTTGGCATGAGTTCATATAAGTTTTCCCAGGTTTTTCTGAAACCAAGGAATCAAACTTTTTAATTCAGAAGCTAGCAGGAAAGAATGGAGTCCATGACAAGAAAACCTTCCAAATAATTAGAGTTATCCAAAAGTAGAATGGAGAATCGCTGAGTTCCCTTTCAATGCAGAACTTCAAGAAAACTGTCAATCAATCAATAACCATTTATTAAGCACCTACTATGTGGCAGGCATCATGCTCAGCACCAAATGACCAATTATTGAGCATATTGTAATAAATCTTTGTTTTTGGTATGAGCTCGATTTGATGGTCACTGAGGCCCCTTCCAACTTTAAATTCCATGATTCTGTGGAAGAGCTCATCAAGTTCAAATAAAGATCTCAGTCTCAGGCAATGTACCAGTTAATTCTCACTCCCCATGTGATGGTAACAAACTCTTTGAGGAGTGGAGAGAAGCTATTGTATACATGGCCTCTTCCAGTTGCCTGAATATTTTTGGAAGTCATTCTTTACATATGGGTAAGAAGGTTGTGACCAATTAGACATTTAATCAATAGAAAAGAATCTTCTTTAATTTAATATTCAGTAAACCTTATTTTGGGGCAAAATTCAGATATAAGCCAATTTGCTCACCCTGACCAACATGCCCCATTCCTTTAACTCACAGAATCATGGGCTCTCAGAATCAGAAGAGACCTCAAAAGTCATCCAAGCTAATAATCCCTGATTGGACTGGAATCCCTTCAACAAGAAAACTAAGTGACCATCCATTCTCTGTATAAAGACCTCCCAAGGCAACCAATTTCCCTTTTGGACAGTTATTGAGTCAACATTTCTGTAGCTCTATTCCTATAATGCTTTAGCCCAAAAAAGAGGAAGGAAAAGTTCTCCTAATTTGTTGAGGATGCTGTTGAGCACAGTGAGAATTTATAGCTTACCAGGGCACCATAGGCTACTGTAAATGTTCCCCTGGAGACTGGCACATAAAGACCACCCAGTCATAAATTTCCATGGATCTCTCAGGTTTCCATTCAGATGTATGTGTGAAAGTCCTCTCTGGACAGCAACTTCTCACCTGTTGGTAATTACTGACCAATGTGGCATTGAACCAAAAGCACAACCCTGCTGCCTCTGAACAAGACAGAAGGAAGTCTGGCTGGCCTGAAGAAATAAGACTCTAGAAGTGCATTCCGCCTGCCAAATGGCAAGCTTATTATACTTGTAGGCTATTTGAAGATTAGAGATCATCTACTACATTTTACAGAAGAGTAAACTGAGATTTTAACCCTGAAGAGATTAAATGACTTACTCAAGATCACTTGGCCAGATAGGGATAGAGTATAGATTAAAACTTGTCTCCTAAGTCCCCACTCTAGTACCCTTGACTCTATACCATAATGTCTTAACTTCATAGGGCACTGCTAAGCATGGATGGGGGCTTAAGAAGTGTCCTGGAGCTACACTGAAACCTGGAAAACTTGGTCATTGCTCCTATTTGTACAACCAGCATATCATTCACCCCAACAAGCCCTCCTGAAGACTATAAACTTTTTATCCACTCAAACTTGAGCAGATCTACTAGTTCTGAACCACTACCAGCAGGTTAAAAGTATGTCTGTACTCAGAAGCTGATGTCCACTCTCTAAATTGGCACAGTACCATGCCTGGAGAAGGATCAGTCTCTAATGCCAATCTCAGTTTGTACTTGAATGTTCTTCCAAGCAGAGTTTGGTTGGTAGTGTTCCACTCCCACCATGAGAGGCTAACAGTAGGACACAGGAATCTATTCACAATGGTACCCTGAGACTTTTGATGGCAATGAATATAACATAGTTTCTGATCACATGTACAGTCTTGAGAGGTATGTGCCTTCTTTGGTGACAGCTGACAAGCTTCTTACAATTCCTGCTAACTCCTCTATTCCATCCTTGTAGGATGGCAACTATACATGTTTTTCACCAATCTATTTTAATTCCAGGAGTACTATGCCATTTTGGTGGTTGTAGGCTCCCTGACCAATTTAGCTCAGTTCTGTGCTAGACTTCCCATTTTCTTATCCCACATGAAATATTCTGACTCTCTAGTTTTCCCTCTCACCTCAATATGTAACATTCCT